CTGGTCAGAAAGGAGGAGGTGTAAGGTCGTCCTGTGGCCATTCTTCCAGATGTTTTGAGGGTCTTCCCAAGTACTCAGCATGGGATTATATCACTGAGCAAAATAGAAAAGTCCTTTTCTTTATGGAGATTACAGTCTAGAGACAGAGACAGAGAAAAAATAAGAAAATTCCTTAGTACAGTAGGCTCTCCTTACCTGTGAGTTTCCCATTTTCAGATTCAGCCAACCGTGAATCAAAATGTGCAGATACAGAGAGCTGAGTGTACCATGGCATTTTGTCAGGGACTTGAGCATCCATAGATTTTGGTAACTGCTGGGATCAAGAAACTAATCCCCAGTGGATACAGAGTATCGACCATACGTTGAAGATCACCTCACACTTCTCAGAACCTTTCCACATGTTCCATTTTACCCACATTAAAAGCCAGAGTCCTTATAAGGCCTGAAGGCCCCACGGGGTCTGCTGTCTTAACCGCTATCCCCCGCCCCTTTCCCTTCTGACCTTGTGGCCAGTCACCCTTATTATCAGGTGTTCTCAGGTCCCTCAGACATGCCAGGTATGCTCCTTTTAAAGATGTTTCGTGCCCAAGTGTGCTGGCCCACGCCTGTAATCCTAGTACTGTGAAAGGCTGAGGCAGGTGGATCACTTGAGGTCAGAAGTTCAAGACCAGCCTAGCCAACATGGTGAAACCCTGTCTCTACTAAAAATACAAAAATTAGCTGCCTGTAATCTCAGCTACACAGGAGGCTGAGGCAGGAGAATTGCTCGAGCCAATGGAGTGGAGGTTGCAGTGAGCTGAGATCACGCCAATACTCCAGCCTGGGCGACAGAGCAAGACTCTGTCTGAAACAAACAAACAAAAAACCTCTGAATTGGCCGGACATGGTTGCTCACGCCTATAATCCCACCAGTTTGGGAGGCTGAGGTGGGTGGATCACAAGGTCAGGAGCTCAAGACCAGCCTGGCCAAAATGATGAAACCCATCTGTACTAAAAATACAAAAAGTTCGGCAGACGTGGCAGCAGGCACCTTAATCCTAGCTACTTGAGAGGCTGAGGCAAAGAATTGCTTGAATCCAGGAGGTGGAGATTGCAGTAAGCCAAGATCGCACCACTGCACTCCAGCCTGGGTGACAGAGCGAGACTCAAGCAAGACTTCATCGTAAATAAGTAAATAAAGAAGGTGGTTTTGGTTTTTGTTTGTTTTTGTTTTTGTTTTGACCCAGGATCTGGCTTTACTGCCCAGGCTGGAATGTGGTAGTGTGATCAAAGCTCATTGCAGCCTCTACCTTCTGGGTTCAAGTGGTCCACCCACCTCAGCCTCCCAAGTAGCTGGGACTATAGGCATGCACCACCACACCCAGCTAATTAAAAAAAATTTTTTTAAGTAGAAATGGGGGTCTCACTATGTTGCCCAGGCTGGTCTCAAACTTCTGGGCTCAAGCAGTCTTCCTACCCAGCCTCCCAAAGTGCTAGGATTACAGGCTTCCTTCTTTCTAAGGGCTGTAACTCTGGGCACTTCCTCTGCCTGGCAGCATCTTCTCTCTCAGATAAATCCTGTCAGCCAGCTTATCCTGTTTTTCCTGTCTAAATGTCATCTTTTCAGGGTGGTTGGTGGGAACTACCCTGACTAACCTATTTAAATTCGAATCCACCACCTTCCCAGCAATCCTGACCCCGTTTCTCATGTTTTGTGCTTACCATTTTTTTTTAACATAATTATTTATTTATTTGTGAAGAAAGCTTAATAGGGGTAGGGATCTTCATTTTGTTTCCTGAAGTATATTAAGTGCTTACCTAGAACAGTAATTGGCACTTCTAGTAGATATTCAGTAAACATATTGAATGAATGAAAATTAAAAGTACAGTGGAAAAAATGAAGGGTTGCATTAGTTTCCTGTGGCTGCTGTAACATATTAACAAAACCTTGGTGGCTTAATAGAAATTTATTTTCTCATTTGTATCAAGTCAGGTTGATACATATGGATCTAGTTCCTTCATTTTATCTGCAGCTCTAAGCAGCTGGTTCTCTCTCCCGGTTTCAGAATATATAAATCCCAGAGAAGTCGTCTGATTAGCCCATACTGGCACCTGTTGGATCAGTCTGTGGCTTCAGCAAATAGAACACTTGTATTGATGAGACCTGGAGTGCATGCCTACCCCCAAATCCAGAGCATCTGGATACTTAGTTTGCAGTTCTCCTTAGGATCATGAGTTTGAAGGTGAAAGGATTTGGGGAAGACAAAAAACAGATTTCTACTGAAGCTTCAAGTTTGGGCTTGGACATTACATCCTCTGAGGATCCTTTTCTGACCCCTGGAATCCTGTTCTGTGCCCTTGCATTTCCTATTCTTGTAACAGTTATCAGGTAGTATCTTAATTACCCTCTTCTCTTGATGTGTACTCATTCAGGGGAGACTGTGTCTGTCTTGTTTTCCTGTTGTATCTCAGGAAATACAAGTTCTGCCACACACCATTAAGTAGATGCTCAACACATAGTTTTGAATGAATGATTCCACTGACTAGCAGAACTTTCAACCTCACTTTCTATAAATAGGTTCCCATCTGCTTCCTAAGAACGTCATAGGAATCCTGTGTGGTATGGTGCTTCTGGACCTGATTTCAGGCCCATTAACGTTCTATCTCTTTTTACATCTTTCTTTATATGGGTGGTTTGGCCCTGTTGAATTTTATTTTTCCTATTTAATGCTGAAAATTCACAGAAAGATAAAATTGATAAAATGCAAACTCAGACTTCCTCAGTAAAGTGTTTAGAGATAAGCCGTGCCCAGCCTTTCCCAGCCCAGTATACCTTTAGCTTCCATGTGTGCACAGTAATTTCTCCTAACTTCAAATATGCCATCAGCAGAACTTTTTTTTTTTTTTTTTGAGACAGAGTCTCGCTCTGTCGCCAGGCTGGAGTGCAGTGGCGCAATGTTGGCTCACTGTAACCTCCGCCTCCTGGGTTCAAGCAATTCTCCTGCCTCAGCCTACCGAATAGCTGGGATTATAGGCGCCTGCCACCATGCCCAGCTAAGTTTTGTATTTTTAGTAGAGACGAGGTTTCACCATGTTGGCCAGTCTGGTCTCGAACTTCTGACCTCAAATGATCCACCCAGCTCAGCCTTACAAAGTGCTGGGATTATAGATGTGAGCCACTGTGCCCTGTTTAGCAGAACATACTGTATGCACATTTACTTCTGGATACTTTTAGCATCAGTAGAATGTGGATTTTAGTGGATATAAAATGTGAATCAAGCTGGGTGTGGTGGCTCATGCCTGTAATTCCAGCACTTTGAGAGGATTACCTGAGACAACGTGGCAAGACCCTGCCTCTAATTTAATATTAAAAAAAAAAAATTTTTTTTTAATAAAAAATAAAATGTGAATGATTTGATTTGAAAATGCTAGTGTTAGTAGTAATACCAGTTAGAATAGTAATAGCAGTTAACATTTATTGAGTGCTTTTTGTGTGCCAGGCATGTAGAAGTAGGTTCCATCTTTAGGCCTGTTAATACAGATGAGAAAACTGGATCTTAGATCAGCGATCTGTTCAAGTTATCTCAGACCCTAAGTATTGGTGCTGGGCTGTGAATCTGGACACTGAGCTCAGAACCACACCTCTAAGGACTACATTCTATTGCCTTGTATAATTAGGAACGGAAACCTGGGGTTTGGTAAAAGAACAAGACATCAGATTGATCACAGATAAACAGTGAAGTTTCTGCCCTAAAGCTTTGGTAAAGATAAATAGGGAGAACTAACCAAAGTCTTAGGACTGTATTCCCTTGGCCCCTGTGAGGAGAGAGCAGGATGTGTGGAGGTGGGACAGAAGCCACTTGCTTTGGCGTACATTGGTACTGTGTCACCTGCAGTACTGGCAAGAGCATTTGGGAAATACAGGGTGCTCAGTGTATTTTCTGTTTCCTGCATAAAAGTTGGTCTTTATTTAGCTCTGAGATCCTGATTGTGGGAGGAGTCATTTAACCAGAAAGGCATTGAACATCTGGATAAATATTTAGACATAAAATAAGTTTTACAAAATACTTACATGAAGCAAAGCACAATGAATTTATAAGCATTTCACTGAAACTTTGTGGGAGAGACAGCCTGAAAAGTTTATATCAGATGGGTAATGGAGTCTGATTATACTTTACCATTAATTGAAGATCTGTACAAGGTCAATGATACTCTTTTTCTTTATTTGTTCTATTTTAAATCAGTATATACAGTGGCTTTCATATGTTCAGTTTAGATCTTAGTATCTGTCTCTTGACCCTGTATTTACTCCATTGCTCTAAATTCTCTTACTGTGGGAGAGAATTATTCCTTATGTTTTCAGGAATAAAACTCCTACATTGGAGGAGATTACTGATATCATTAAACCTGATGGGGTAATCTGTCTCCTATGCTAGGTTACTGAACTTACCCTCTAGGCAGGGACACTTTCCTGCTTTTATAAAGTACTTGGGTCAAATACCAAGTACAGACATGCGTCACTTAATGCCAGGGATACATCCTGGAAATGTGTCGTTAGGCAGTTTCTTCGTGGTGCATCAAGAGTGTATTCACACAAACCTAGATGGTGTGGCCTACCACACACTTAGGCTATATAATATAGCCTATTGCTCCTAGGTTACAAACCTGTGTAGCATGCTACTGTCCCAAATACTGTCGGCAGTTTTAACAAAATGGTAAGTATGTGTGTATTTAAACATAGAAAAGGCGGTCTGTTGTGCTATGACACTGTGATGGCTGCCACATCACTAGGTGTTAGGAATTTTTCAGCTCCTGTATAATCTTATGGGACTGCCATGTGTGATATGTTATTGACTGAAAGGTCAGTATGTGGCACATGATTGAATACTCTATTGGTTTATACGTGGACTAATAGTGCTATTTGAACAGAATATCTGTTCCAAACTGGGATTGTCTTATTTCATAGAAAGTAGTTACAGGATAAGTCGATGGCATTAAAATTAAATTTTATCCCTCTCTAGGTTGCATCCCAGCGCATTAGCTCGGTGGACCTCTCGTGTTGCAGCCTGGAACATCTGCCTGCCAACCTCTTCTACAGCCAAGACCTCACTCATCTTAATTTAAAACAAAACTTCCTAAGGCAAAACCCTAGCCTCCCAGCTGCCAGGGGGCTTAATGAACTGCAAAGGTGAGCCTGCAGAAATGAGTGGATCTTTAGGAAGGGGTAGGGGCAGAATGAATGGGGGCAGACTGAACTTATGCTTGTTATCTCTTGAACATTCTCACTGAAAGAGCTAGTGTGTAAACTGTCTCAGAGAGCAGGGTGATAGAACTTTGCTTATTAGTAAAGACATTACCAATTCTCATTGTGAATTTTTTTTTCAAGGTTCCTGCTTTTAAAACTAATGATTTATGGTATTTATTAACTGGATAGAGTTGTATAAGAACAA